AGATTCAACGTGAATCAATGAATGGGGCTTTGGAGTCAGAATGACATAAATATGTCGATATTGAGTCGATTCTAACCCATAGTGACCCTGTATAGGGTTTCCAAGGAGCACCGGGTGAGCTTGAACCACTGACCTCGCAGTTCAAATAACTTTGCAGTCTGATGCATTAGCCCACAGAGTCACACCATAAGTTGATTTATTATCAGCTGTCAGCTGTGTATTCTTGGGAAAAATACTTAACCTTTCTGTGTCTCAGTTTCATCATCTGTAAAACGAGAATTTTATTCTCTCTTATCCTTAAGGGAACATTTTACAAGAACAGTCTGTGGCAGAGAGTAAATGTTTAACAAATAGGGTGTGTTGTTACCGTTATTGACAACATTCTGGTCACTTATAAGGCAGCTTTTAACTTGTTCAGGAATTCAGTTGAAAAGTGACAGAGGGTATTTCATCCTAATTCTTTATTCACTCTGACACTGGCGCTGTTGTTGTTGTTGTTAAGTGCCACAATGTCGGTTCTGACTCATAGCCAACTTGGTCAGGGTTTCCAAGGAGGAGTGGCTGGTAGATTTAAACTGCCACCCTTACAGTGTGCAGTTCAGTGCTTAACTTACAGTGCCACTGATACTACTAATGTTAAATTATGTTCCATGTGATAGAATATCCAAGCGAACTATATATACTCTTCATCCATCTATTTACAATGAAACGTCATCAGGGGTATTCTCTTTAGTTGCCAGCTTTTAGCAGGTTTAGGGGATTCAGTATAGGAGTCCTGGTGATACAGTTAAGCACTTGACTCCTAACCAAAAGTTTGTGGGTTTAAACCCAGCAGCATTTCTGTGGGAGAAACATGTGGAGGTCTGCTTCTGTAAAGATTTTAAGCCTTGGAAATCGCATGGGACAGTTCTTATTCTTATGGGGTTGCTATGAGTTGGAATTCACTCAATGGCAATGGATTAGGGGATTCAGTAGGTATCCCCAGGCAGATTTTGAAACATATTTTGAGCACTATTCTAGGGAGACTTGGGGCATAGTCCTTGGAGAACACTCAGCTGTTATCTCGGTGTTTGGAGAGCACCTCCATCAGCTCTCAGCTTAGCAGATTTCCCTTGCTGGAGGATGCTACACAGAAAATACCTGTCTTAGCAGAGTCTGAACCAACCCTTACTTGCAGAGAATTCTCCAGGCTTTGATCCTTTATGATGTTGTCGCTTCACAATGTTAAGAGCCTAAATGTAAGCTTTGACTTGAATGGTGGCCAAACACAATGGCGTTCAGGGTTGAATTTGATCCTTAAGCCACAAAATCAAAGGTTCTTCTCTCTCATCCTTTGAGAGCACTGCTTGTTGCTTTACAAACCTGGATTACTACTGTCTCTAAAGCACTGCCTTTTCCTTTTATCAGTCATTTTGAAAGATTGCCAACAGGTGTGCCAATAAAATAATGAGCTACCCTCCACTCTCACAAACATTGCAGAAAAAAATATCACCTGATTTTATCTTTAGGAGTAATTTATCTTCAAATATTTATGAAATTCACTTTTTAGAATGTTTTTAAAACGTCTTATAGTGATAGTTTTACCAAAAGAACAAATTACTATTATATCATAGTCATAGGCCATTCTTATAGGTTCTGCTGTTTTTCGACTTCATTTATTCTCTTTCTCTATTTTTCCTCCCTTGGAGAATGGGAGGAGAGGGAAATAAGGTAGAGTCTCTGGGTGGCACAAATAGCTTAGTGCTTGACTACTAGTCAACTGAAATGTTGGCAGTTCAAACACACCCAGAGGCACCTCAGAAGACACGCCTGGAGGTCTGCTTCTGAAAACCCTCGCCTTGAAACTCAGTGGAGCAATTCTACTCTGCACACATGGGTTCACCATCAGCCGGAAATGACTTGACAGCCACCGATAATAGCACAACTCAGGCACCAGAGAGAAATTGTAGGGACCCGTGTGGAGAGCATTCCAGGAGGATCACTTAGGGTTGTTGTTGTTAAGTGCCATTGAGTCAGTTCTGACCCATAGCGACCCTGAACAGGGTTTCCGAGACTGTAAACCTTTACGGGAGCAGAAAGCCTCATCTTTCTCCTGCAGAGCAGCTGGTAGTTTCGAACTTCTGACCTGGCGGTTCACAGCCAGATTCGTAACCACAACGCTACCAGAGCTCCTTCGTGCTTCTCAAATCCTTAACGTGCTTTGAAATCTCTAGAGCTTTTGCCTAAATGCAAATTCTGATTCAGTAAGTCTGGGGTGGGTCCAGGGAATCTGCATTTCTCACATTTCCAGGATATGTCCCTGCTGCTTGTTCAGGCACAAATCACATAGATTTTGTGGGAAAAGGAGACCAAGGAATATGCAGTCTTTTGAATGGGCCCTTGCATGCTCACTAGTTCTCACTACAGCCCTGTAAAGCTTTTGTTGTAGTTGTTAGGTGCTGTTAAGTCAGTTATGACTCATATCAAGTGTACAATAGAATCGAACACTGTCAGGTCCTGCTCCATTCTTACAATTGTTATGTTTGAACCCTTGCTACTGCTACAGTGTCAGTATATCTCTTTGGGGATCTTCCTATTTTTTACTTCCTCTTCTACCAAGCATGATGTCCTTCTCTAGGGACTGTCCCCACCTGACAACATGTCCAAAGTATGAGAGATGAAGTCTCACCATCTTGGCTTCTAAGGAGCGTTCTGGCTGTACTTCTGATTTGTTTGTTTTTCTCACCATTCTGTAAGGTTACTAGTCATATTTTACAAATAAGGTTACCGACTCAGAGTTAGACATCTGAACGGAGTTTAGGTACAACACAGTTTGAGTAACCTTGAGGCCTCCAGTTGCCCCATTCTGTGCTGTGTCTTGTTGCTTCTCTATATGCTGCTGTCCTTCCAACTGACACTCAACCCCTGGGCCAGTCATGGCCTTTTGCTTGTAGAGTGTCTTGCATTGGCTGCCTCTTTCCCTTCTCATTTATTGAGGGTTTTGGATTTGACTACAGCCTCCTTCTCTGCCCCTAGTTTCTGTTTCTCTTCCAAAAACCCTACACAATGCTGCCACAGTGATTTTTCAAAAGTACAACCTCAAGCAAAGGTCCCTTTGTTACAAATCTTTCTGAATATATGGCATATCCATATATAAGATAGAGTCCAGGTGTGGTGCTCTGGGTTAATGTGCTAGACTGCAAAGCTGTTTGAATTGCAAGGTCAGTGGTTGAAGCTCACCAGCTGCTCCTCAGAAACCCTATACAGGGTTGCTATGGGACAGAAATTACTCAACTGCACTTAACAACAGCAATATATAAGATATGAGACAAACATCATAGACAATGTCATCATTTATTATCTGTGTTAATACTTCTTCACCTTGCAAATTGACTACATTACATGCCTCTTGAGACCAGGAGGTCAGAACATTAAACAATATTTCATGAACTGGGTAATCCTGTAAATCTGAGAACCAAGGGATTAGCCAGTGAATAAATTTTAAATTATGCACTCTCAAGAGTATTTATATTCAGCTCTTTTCTTTTTTGATATTCTGATGATAACTATGAACTAACTGAAATCCAGATTAAGAACCCATGCATTAGAACAGATTTTCAAATTCTTGTGGATCCCAGACTTTCTGGAGTCTTTCTTGAGACCAGATGAACCCCTGAAACTATTACTCTGAGATCATCTTTAAAATTTAAACCAATAGTTTCTCCTGAAGTCTTTTTAAAGTTTAGCTTAAGTAGTAAAGAATGTCTGGTTTGCGAATTGTGCTCTTAAAGATCTGTCTATACGGGACCAGGAGTCCTGGTGTAGCACTGTGGAATCAGCACTGAACTGCTAACCACAATGTCAGCGACTCAAACCTACCATCCTCTCCTTGGAAATCCTACACAGGGTCACTGTAAGTCAGAACTAACTCGATGGCACTTAACAACAACATGGGATCAAATTGACAACAGCAACTCAAAAGGTTAAATGGGAGATTTAGGGGACAGAGAGCTTATGCTAATGAGGGAGGAATGCCTTAGAAAAAGAGGATGAGAATGATGGCACAACTTGTACAGTCATTGAAGAATGTAGTCGATGTGCCTGAATCAGACATGTAGAAATTATTGAATTAATTCATGTTTTGCTGTGTATTTTCTCAACAACATCAACAATATATATTTTTTAAAGAACCCATACATTAAAGTAGTAGGTAGGGGGTATTTGTGTCTAATGATCATTCCCATTCATCATCTGTAAAATGTGGCCAATGATCCCTTCTGCATAGAATTGCAATGGTGACTTGTTGAATTGATCGGTATATCAACAAGTACAGTGACTGGTATAAAATCAAGGCTCACTAAATGCTGATTTCCATCTTTGCCGCTATGTAATGTAATTGGAGGGATTTCTTTGATCTAGAAATCTTGCACAACAATAAGAAGAAAGAATTTGGTTTTCACTATTTTATTTAACTTCCACGTGTAGAAAAACATCTTGTGAAGTTGAAAAGTGGAAAGCCACATCTCCTTGGAAACATTTTTATATTCTTAGACAAATCAGAATAGCAATGATTACTAATAACAATAACGCATCAGGTTACCATGCTCCTTTGTCTTGGGAGAATGTTTTAGAATGATTGCCTGTCATGGCAGTTTTTCCATAAAGCAATCCTCCTGCTATGATTCAGTTTCAGGCAAGGTTACCAATTCTTCATCTATGATGGAGACTAAATAAGGAAGACAAAATATAGTACAGACATCAACTTACTAAGAGAACTATCTAAATCACTACCAAGACTACTCTTCTCAGTGCTACTAAAGCCAACCTTCATATCACAGGCTTTGATATCAACATAATAAGGATTTCCCCATATATTTATTGACTACCCACCTGAACTCACCACCATCAGTTGATTCCAACTCTGTAAGATACAGTAGAACTACCATAGGTCAAAGAACTTTGTCTTCCAACCCTATAGGACAAGAATAGAATTGTGACACGATCCCTTCAAGTTGCCGTGTTCCACCAGGTGAGAAGAGTGATGACCATCCTTTTCCTTAATATGGTTATTTCATACTTCGGTTGCATGAAGGCTGCCCCCATGAAAGAAGCCAACATCCGAGGACAAGGCCGCTTGGCCTACCCAGGTGTGTGGACCCATGGGACTCTGGAGAGCATGAATGGGCCCAAGGTGGGTTCAAGAGGCCTGACCTCATTGGCTGACACTTTCAAACATGTGATAGAAGAGCTGTTGGATGAGGACCAGAAAATTCGGCCCAATGAAGAAAACAATAAGGATGTGAACATATACACTTCCAGGGTGATGCTCAGTAGTCAAGTGCCTTTAGAGCCTCATCTTCTCTTTCTGCTTGACGAATACAAAAATTACCTGGATGCTGCAAACATGTCTATGAGGGTCCGACGCCACTCTGAACCTGCCCTCTGTGGGGAGCTGAGTGTGTGTGACAGTATTAGCGAGTGGGTAACAGCGGCAGATAAAAAGACTACAGTGGACATGTCGGGCGGGACGGTCACAGTCCTGGAAAAAGTCCTTGTATTGAAAGGCCAACTGAAGCAATATTTCTACGAGACCAAGTGCAATCCATAGATTACACAAAAGAGGGCTGCAGCGGCATAGACAAAAGGCATTGGAACTTCCAGTGCCGAACTACCAATTATATGCGGGCCCTGACCATGGATAGCAAAAAGAGAATTGGCTGGCGATTTATAAGGACAGACACTTCCTGTGTCCATACATTGACCATTAAAAGGGGAAAATAGTGGATTTATGTTGGATAGATTATATTGAGACAAAAATTATCTATTTGTATATATACATAACAGGGTAAATTATTCAGTTAAGAAAAGAAATTAATTTTATGAACTGCATGTATAAATGAAGTTTATACAGTACAGTGGTTCTACAATCTATTTACTGGACATACCCATGACCAGAAGGGAAAGAGTCATTTGCGCACAACTTTAAAAGTCTGCAATACATTCCTCGATAATGTTGTGGTTTGTTGCCGTTGCCAAGAATCAAAAACGTAAAAAAAAGTTTTAAAATCATCATAATAAATTGCATGCTGCTTTAATTGTGAATTGATCATACACTGTCCTCTTTCAGAAAACAAAACAAAACAAAAAGACAACAAAAATTTGAACCAAAACCTTCTGTTTACATTTTAGGCAGTAAGCATATTCATTCTTGTTAGTACTCAATCTGTTTTAGTGCTTTTAACTTCTGATGGTGTTGGAATTAAAACAATGTCAAGGTGCAAAAAAAAAAAAAAAAAGAATAGAATCGTCCCATGGGGTCTCTAAGGCTGTAGCTCTTTATGGAAGTTGTTGTTTTAAAGTGCTGTTGAGTCAGTTCTGACCCATAGCTACCCTGTATAGGGTTTCTGAGGAGCAGCTGGTGAGCTTGAACTGCTGGCCTTGAAGTGCACAGCTAACAACTGTGCAGTCTGGTGCATTAACCCACAGAACTATACCAGGTAGACAGCCACATATGTCTCCTGAGGCGTCCTGGTGGGTTTAAACTGCTGACTTTTCAGTTAACAGTTGAGTACTTAACCATTATGCCACCACAACTCTCTTTATTAAATGCCAAATGTGCACTGACATGCAGTTGATTCTGATTCATAATGATCTCTTGTTGTTATTGTTAAGTGACTTCGAGACGGTTCCCCACCCATAGCAACCCTGTATAAGGTTTCCGAGGAGTGACTGGTAAGCTTGAACCACTGACCTTGTAGTTCAAACGGCTTTACAGTCTGGTGTATTAACCCACAGCACCACACCAGGACTCCCAAATGATCTTATAGGACAGAGTAGAATCACTGCTTAGGGTTTCTGATACTAAATCCTTACTGGAGTAGACAGACTCATCTTCTCTAGTGGAGAAGTTGGTGGTTTGAATCTCCAGCCTTGTGGTTAGCAACCTGTATTTGACTCACTGCTCCATTGTAGTTGTTGTTAAGTGCCATCGAGTCGGTTCCAACCCATAGCGACCCTGTATAGGGTTTCCAAAGAGTGGCTGGTGAGCTTGAACCACTGACCTTGTGGTCCAAATGACTTTGCAGTCCAGTGCATTAACCCATACCACCACACCAGGATTCCACTAGGACTCCTTTTATTGACAGATGTTGTTGTTGGTAAGTGCCATCGAGTTAGTTGCAACCCATAGCAACCCTGTATAGGGTTTCCCAGGAGCAGCTGGTGAGCTTGAACCACTGACCTTGTAGTTCAAATAACTCTGCAGTCTAATGTATTAGCCTACAGTGCCACACGAGGACTCCATTATTGACAGTTGTTGTTGTTAAGTTCCATTGAGTAGATTGCAACCCATAGTGACCCTGTATAAGGTTTCCAAGGAGCAGCTGGTGAGCTTGAACCACCGAACTTGCAGTTCAAATGGCTTTACAGTCTGATGCATTAACCCACAGCGCCACACCAGGACAGTGTTGTTGTTAGGTGCCATCGAGTCAGTACCAATCCATAGCAACCTTATGCCCAGCAGAATGAAACATTGATCCTGGGCCAGCCTCACTAGTGTTGCAATGCTTGAGTCCATCGATGCTGCCACTTGGCCAATCCATCTTGTTGGGGGTCTTCCTCTTTTTCTCTGACCCTCCACCTTACCAAACATGATATCCTTCTCCAGTGACTGCTCCCTCCTGACAATATGTCCAAAGTATGAGAGATGAAGTTTGGTCATCTTGGCCTCTAAGGAGCACTCTGGCTGCACTTCTTCCATAAGGTATCTATTGGTTCTTTGAGCAGCCCATGGCACTTTCAATATTCTCCTTCAACATCATAATTCAAATGCATCAATTCTTGTATGGTCTTCCTTATTCACTGTCCATCTTTCGCATGCATATGAGGTTATTGAAAATACCATGGCTTGGGTCAGGCACACCTTAGTCTTCAAGCTGACATTCTTGCTCTCCAACACTTTACAAAGGTTTTATGCAGCACATTTGCCTAATGCAATATGCTATCTGATTTCTTGACGCTGCTTCCATGAATGTTGATAATTGATCCAAGAAGAATGAAGTCCTTGACAATTTCAGTCTTTCTCCATTGATAGGAATGTTGTTTATTGGTCCAGTGATGAGGATTTTTCTTTTCGTTACACTGAGATGTAATCCATACCAAAGGCTGTGCTCTCTGATCTTCATCAGTAAATGTTTTAAGTCCTCTTCACTTTCAGCAAGCAAGCTTGTATCATTTGTATATTGCAGGTTGTTAATGAGTCTTCCTCCAATCCTGATGCCACATTTTTCTTCATAGAACCCAGCTTCTCAGATTATTTTCTCAGCATACAGATTGAATAAGTATGGTGAAAGAATACAACCTTGTTGCACAGGTTTCTTAATTTTAAACCATTCAGTGTTCCCATGTTTTGTTCAAACAACTGCCTCTTGGTCCATGTACAGATTCCTCAAGAGCAGAATTAAATGTTCTGGAATACTCATATTTCGCAATGTTGTCCATAGCTTGTCATGATCCACAAAATCTAAAGCCTTTTCGTAGTCAATAAAGCACAGGTAAACATCTTTCTGATAGTCTCTGCTTTCAGCCAAGATCCATTGGACATCAGTAATGATATCCCTCATTCCATGGCCTCCTCTGAATCCGGCTTGAACCTTTGGAAGTTCTCTGTCAATGTATGACTATAGCCACTTCTGTATTACCTTCAGCAAAACTTTACTCGCATGGATATCAAAGAGATTGTCTGATGATATCCACATTCCATTGGATCACCTCTCTTTTGAATGGGCACAAATATGGATCTCTTCCAATCAGTCAGCCAGATAGTTATCTCCCAAATTTCTTGGCAGAGATGTGTGAGTGCCTCCTGTGCCACCTCACTTTCTTGAAAGATTTCAATTTTGATTCCATCAATTCTTGGTGCCTTGTTTCTTGCCAATTCCTTCAATGCACCTTGGATTTCTTCCTTCAGTATCATTGGCTCTTGATCATATGCTACCTCTTGAAATGGTTGAACATTAACCATTTCCTTTTGGTACAGTGACTCTGTGTATTCATTCCATCTTCTCTTGATGCTTTCCGCAGCAGTCAATAATTTGCCCAGAGAATTTTTCAATAATGAAAGTCGAGGCTTGGAGTAGTGATCCTTAAATCAAAATGTGCATAAGAATCAACTAAGGAGCTTAGTAAAAATATAAGGTACCTAAATATAATGTGACTACTATGTCTGAGAAATTCTGAAACAATAGCCATAAGGTCAAAATGCCAAATCAGATGCCATAGAATTAACTCCTGGTGACCCTATATGTGGTAGAATAGAACTGTGCTCTATAATGTTTCCAATGGCTGACATTTTGGAACATGATCACTAGCACTTTCTTCTTTTTTTTAATTTTTATTATGAATTGAATGAAAGTTTACAGGGCAGATCATCAGTTTTACATTCAATGAATCATATACTTTGTTTCTTTACAATGATTGTAATCCCCTCCATGTACTATCAGTTAACGGTATTTTTCTCTATTAATTTTAGTTTTTTCAAGAAACAAAAACAAAAAAACTCAGGCATATATAATAATTTAAACCATCAAAGGGCACATTCTAAAATCTGCAAATGTGCCTCCTGGCTGGTAGTTTTCAGTCCTGTCTTTGCATGAACCTAGAGTTCTCAGCTGCTCTCTCTCTCCAGGTCCCAGACTCTGCCTCCATCTCTGGTGTCTCTGCTCTCTGCTTAAGTTCCTGCATTCTGCTTGTGCTCTTCTCCCTTGATGGCCCTAGGGTCTTCTGCTTCTGGACTGTAAGATTAACTACTCCCCCATTTTTGCTACAAAGCTTTTACCTTTACAATTGTGACAGTTGCAATTAGTCATGATAACAATTACTCACTATTAAGTCATAAGAATCTTATCCCCATCTCTTTTTACTAGACCCATCTAGACAAGATGAAAATTATTCAGTGGGGACTCTATCTTCTCCCACTTACTCTTAAACTAAACTCTCTCTTGAAACCTTGTAAGCCAGCAGGACTTTCTTTTGAGCTGTCTCTGGGTGTATTTGAACTTCCAGCCTTTAGGTTAGCAGTAGAGTGTGCTGACCATTTGTACCATATACAAAGTAACTGCATATGAAAGATAACCCAGCAATTAATGATATACAGTTGAGGAGACTAAGAGTCAAATATGCAAAGTAATTTTTAAGGATCATGTGGGTATATTGCAAAGCTAGGTTTCCAGTATCGGTATTTAGATGTTAATTCAATGATTTAGGGTTGTAGGTCTCAAAACTTAGTATACACATGAATCACCTTGATCACTTTTAAATTATAGATTCTGAAGCAGTATATTTGAGGAGGGACCACATTTTCTGCATTTCTAACAGGCTTCTGGGTGATACTGATGCTATTGGTCCTTAGACCACAATGAGTAGCTAGGATCTTAGATATCACTGGATCTGAATTGGAGCCTTTAAGGAAATTCAAGCTGGATTTGGGGTTAAAATAAATTGGTTGGTCTTTTATGGTTTGGTAGTCACTATTGTGGATAACACAGAATTGAGCACATGGAAGGTAAATAAATAAAGACCTGTGGATACTTAGTAAGCCTAAAATTTGGAGGTGACCTTCATAGCTCTTGCCTTGTCTTATTGACCTCTTCAAGGTGTTCTGTTGCCCTAGAGAGCTACTGGATGAGTTTGGTGAAGGCAAATGCTTGTTTGTTCCTAGGTATGCAGGGGAAGGATAGTGGGAAATAGGGAATCCACATAGTATGGATCACAATGGTCTGATCACATGGTTGGTGCAGAACCAGACATTGTTTTGTTCCATTGTACATGGAATTGCCATGAGTTGGGGGCTAATTTGGGAGCAGCCAGCAACAACATACATATACACACCTATCTGTCTAATCTATCTGTCTGTCTACACATAACACACCTTTTAGTGATTTGCTTTTCTTTTAGGACCCTCACATGCACGGCCATCCAACACCTCATAGCTTAAACCAAAGGTTTTAGGTAAGAGCATCTATTCCTGTTAACAGATAAGGCAACTACTACTTAAAAATCTCTGTACCCAAGATCCTAAACATGCCAGGTGAA